TGTATAAGAGACAGAGACAAATGTTATCTTTTTATTGCTGAGAAAAAGAATTATCTTTACGATATTTTTAATCTAAATTCAAGAATACGAACTTCTGTCCATATCGTAGATTTTTCTTCCTTATTAAGAGAAACGCTTACGAGACCAGAGTAAAATTACAGTACGATCGTCTTCGAAAGAATTATCGAGCTTGACCTTTCGGAAAGTGCTTTGGGAATCAAGAGAGCCCCGAAGAGCAGATTTTCCTCTGACACGTACTCCTGAGTAACTCATCGTCGGTAAGTAGAAACTTTCGTCCGTCTGCAAATTGCTCGCTAAAAAAAACAGAGAGAAGTTCGGAAAACACTAACCCGCCGCGGATACATCAAATGAACCTCGAATTATAAACCCGGCGCGGAAAGTTGCTCGAAATTTCAAGCCTGTCGGGATCGTTTACAACGTAACTTCGCCGACCCGAATCCATCAGTTTGAACGAAACTTTGCGAGTATATACAAAATGATTTCAGATATGAATAACGTTTCACTTCACTCGTGACTCATCGGAGAGAGGCCGAGTTTATATATAAGTTCGGCAAATTATAGCTTCGCACATTTAATGAGAAGTTATTTTCAAAATCGCGTGATATGCACGAGGAAGGGCCAAAATTCTCGCTCCTTTAGATAATGTACATTAAAATTTTAAATTATCATGCTTAATAAGTAAAGAGAGAATCGTATAGCATCTAAAATTACTTAATCTAATTACAGATAAAGGATAATGCTTTATAAGTTTAACGATAACCCCGACCGCATAACTACATATTAAATTTCGTATCGTTTCGAATTATTTTTCGTATTTTTCATGCACCGCGTTGCATGCCAATTATTTACGTGCCAATTTATTGAATTTAATTAATCAAACCCACGTGATATATGCATGCAAACATTTTAGAAAATAATAAATACATATCTGAAATACACAGAATAAACTGTTAAAAATATATCATGGACATAATCCTTCAACATGTAGCTTCCGTAGCGTTACCGGGGATCACTGTCGAGCCCTCGAATGTAATCCCGAGCTAGAAGGGTCAAACAAAGAAGGGAAGGAAACTTACGCGTGAGGCAGACTTCCAATCAGGACTCGTATTAACCCGCCCGAAAGCCGCAAGGTTCCGTTGCCCCCACACGCCTTGTTCTTAAAGTCAGTTTGTCACGAAGTGCGCGTTTGAACCGACGCGGCTGGACTATCTATCTCTCCGATAGTTCGCTTTCCGGTAAATCCGCCACGTAATAAAACTAAACGCCTCGTGTTTATCACGTTTTTATTTTGTTTTGTTATAAAACACAAGAAGTTCTCCAAACAAATTGCAAATTTCGGAAGTGCGTCGTTTGGTGTTATTATCTCGCAATATTTTGCATAATTTTGCAATTTACTTTATGCATATTTATAGTTCATTAATTTTTCCGGCATAATAATACCGCGACAACGCAGATTTGTCGCGTTGTTACCGATTTAAAGTTCGATACGTACAAACGGTTTTGAACAAGTCATACTTCTGTGAAGCGTGAGCAAGCTACATTCTGTCTCATAATAATCGTCGTTGAATGTGAGAGTCTCTCTCTCACTCACACACACACACACACACACACACCCACACACAAATGTTGGTATAAAGCGCGTATTTTGTGGAAATTTCCTAGAATATTGGTAAGTCCACTCTGTTTCAAATAAATTCTCTCTCTCTCCCTCTAAAAATAATTGCATTTTTATAAAGGGTAACAATATAATGACGTGCATTTCATCGGAATACATTTTTAATCTATTTTCAGCATTCGATGTAATTTACTTAGAAAAATGCTATTAAAATTTTTCCATCATAAAAATGCTTTTACTTTGATATGAATTCCATCTCTTCTTTCTCGCATATTATCTGTTTTCACGGCTCGTCGTAATGACATGAGCAAATAACAAGTTTTTAATATTTCTACTCGGGTCCAGCGCTGACTTCGCTGACACCTGATACATTTTTTTTTCACGTATGTATCTGCGGTTTTGAAAAATAAATCCATCGAAATTAAAACGGCCT